GCTTTGTCCCTAGTAGCTGAGTGGTCATGAAGGCAGCAGTCAAGGTCACAGACTTCTGGCTTGCATGTCATGAGTTCGAGCCTAGTACTGCTGAAGACCCACCGTGCAGGTGGCCGCGGTTGCCAAGTGGTCTGGGCATCGGATAATGACTAGCGTGTCATGAGTTCCAGCCCCAGTACCACTGAAGACCCGCCGTGTACGGGAGCGATGCATGTTAAATCTGTCGAGAGCTCAAACGTCCTCCCGTTGATGTGGTGTGGTAGTTAGGAGAGGAGGTGCCAGCTCAGATGTCGTCCGCGTCACTTGACCATGGTCCAGAATTACGAGGTCCGTCCCCAAAAGCCCTCGAGTAGCTGAACAGCGGGACGTTAATATTCAGTCACTCACTCACGCGACGTTAATACTCACCCACAACTCGGTACTTTCAAAAAAGGTATCTTTTACGTTGTAGGAGGTTTACCCATACTTAAATTTTCCACTAGTGATTATAAGAATAGAGAAAGAATATGATCTTAAATTATATATATAAAAGCCAAATATAATATACTTCTGATTTATCGAAATTAAGATCGCAAAGTAGTATTCATTCAACGAAGAACCGTGATAAAAGTTAAATAATATCCTGCTTAACTTTTCAAAAACATGCTTTACCTTTAAATTCATAACTAAATTTGCGTATTCGCGATTCAAAATTACTTTTAATAAACTTTAACATAAAGAAGAATGTATTTCTAAAAGCAAGGATTATGAAGATACAGAGAAAACAATTAATGGAAAAATAACAATATCACGAGAAACAAATTGAGAGTACAATTTATCGATGTATATGCAGCTTTTTTAGAATTATTTCCGGAAAAATTTCCTTTTTTGTCTGAAAAAAAATCAACAGAAACACCTTCCACATTTTAGGACATTTTTAGTGGTTAATGAGCGCATAATCGAATTTTTATTAACGCCACGCTTTTATTTGAATTAATTTCATTTAAATCTACTTCGTTCTGCAACGTCCGTCAAATGACGAGAGCGACACCTGGGTGGGAACAACCACCTTCAGTTATTAACTTTGCACTTTGAAGCAACGTGGGGGTTTTTGGCTATTGATCTGGAAAATTAGCACTTTGGTTAAATGACGATGGCAACACGTGAGACGGCCCTTCACTCTTCTAACTTCCACACCACGCCAACAGGAAGATTTTGAGCATTGACAGATTTAACGTGCATCAGATCCTCTACACGGTGGGTCTTCAGTGGCATCAGGAGTCAAATTTGTGACTCGACAATGCTGACCTCGAGATTATGACTGTGACCACTAGGACTTCGTGGCAACTAGCGGTGAATGAGAAGCCTGGAAATAATGACCTGAATAGTTTGAGGTAAGAGACTAATTTTTGCTATACTTTCCGTATTTTGTAATTTCAATCACATTTGGTTTTAATTAAGAAGGATGAACAAAATTTTCATATGACTTGGTTCACTCTAAGTGATAAACAATAGTCGAGTGTCCTAAGCATAGTGTCCTATTTACTGTTGCGGCGGTCTCCACATAAGAACCGATTTCCCGTTTGGGAACTTACGACCTCCCAACGGTTACGAAGTTTAGACTGGGAAAGTACTTAAGACAGGACAATACCGACGCTTAAGTTCGAGGGCAAGACAACCTTTTATCTCCTTTTGGTCAAGCCGACAGAAAAATGGCCGGCGTGGATCCCACACCAATCTTCATCTTCAAGGTACACCACACGAGAGGTTAAAAGGGCCGATGATTCTTTTTAAAAAATTTCATTGTAACTTCAATAATTTTAAGTATAAAAAAAATCTGACTATTTGACGGCACATTAATATCTCATTAAACACTTCTTTAGAAAAAATGGCACTTTGATCCATAAAGGTTCGCCACCCCTGCCCTAGACCAAGTGATTCTCAAACACTGTGCTGCTGCGCTTTTGTGTGCCACCAATTTTTTTTTAATAATTAATTTTTTATGAGAAAAAAATTAAATATGAAATCGAATCAGTCGGACGTTTTATAGAAATAAAAAATAAGGATATTAATGTGTGGGATAGTTAACTTATCCTTTCGTGGATAGATGGATTTTAAAAAATTGGGTTTGTGTAATCCATTTGTGATAAAGGATACATCTGAATGTGAATTAACTTTAAATGAAGAGGGAAAACTAATTTCGAACTGTAATAATCGAGATTTAGGTATCCGGCTGCCCTAAATCTGTGAATTTTACCAAAAATTGACAAATTTTTTTTATGATTTTATTTTATGGGCCATCTTATTAGCTTTATAAAAATACCAAGTTTATCATTTTCCGTTCAAAAGAACAAAAACTACAAGTGTTTTAGTAAAAACAGATGCCAGTACTTTAAGCAAGATGTCATAATTTAAAAGTGTTTTACTCGAAATGTGATTTTTTGAAAATAAACAAACGGGGTCAGCGATTGCTAAAAAAGTTTTGAACATAATTAACTGTGTGAAATTTTTTCTGTAAGTTCTTTTTAATAGTAGAATTGTTTTAACCTTCAGATTTATCCATCACTGTTTTACTACAAAATTTACAGTCCTTATGTGAATATAATCACTTTCTTTTTAAGCATTTTCATATAGTAACCGAGATAAAGTGCTCTATTTTTTGTAAAAAAGAAAATATCTCTTATCCTGAAGGTCATTTCAAAATTGAATAATATAACAACACATTAGATGGAAAAAATTGAAAATTTGTTCATAAACTTTTGGTGCAGAATGGGCCGCGTTAATGTTATTTTTTGTCAATTTTTTCCCATTTTTTTAGTAATAATATTTTTTTTTCTCTTCTTAATTTTAGCACATTTTTCTTAAAATGTACAAAACAAACCTAAAAATAACAAAAAAAAAACCATAACTCCTTTTTTTTAAAAAAAAAGTCGCAACCAGTCGGATACCTTAATTTCAAAACTTTCGGAAGAGTCCATTAGTTCCTTTTGGATTAAAATTAGAGGCGATTATCTCATAACAGCCGAAAAAGCTTTAAAAATATTTTTACAATTTTTTACATTTTAATCGCGAGAATTCGAATTTTCAACATTAACAAATATATAATGAAAAAAAAAGATCTATAATTTTAAATGTAGATGACAAAATGAGAATGACATTGTCATTTTTACAACGGAATATGAACGAAAATACAAAAATCATTAAGCTCAAATTTCGCATTAATGTATTTTTATATAATTAATTACTCAAAAACATGTTGTCGTCTTTGTCGTACATATTATTTTTCTTCAAAATTGAAAATTATCATAAATTATTTTATAAAGTTTATTACAGATAAGTAAAATTCTTTTACTGAGTGTTGCCGCAAAATTTTGTACCGCAACAAAAAACAAAATTTTTTTGAGAATCACTACGATCTCGTGCGTAGTCTTTTAAACTTTGACTTTTAGAATCTTCAAACTGATAACATCGTTTTTTGGATAGAAACATCTTTTTTGGTGATTTCTTTTTCTCTCGGTGAATATTCAAGGAGTTTGATGGACAATTCTGATATGGAAAGGAGGAAGTTGAGCGGTTTCGTTAATGGAGATCTCTTAGTAGTTTTTAATTTTCGCTATGTTAAAAAAAATGTTTCCTCTTGTAAAAGCAAGGTAAGAAAAACAAATTATGCCGCGTTAATAACTTAGGAAAATCTTACTAGTGATTTGCAAGCTAGCGAAGATATTATGTTTTAATTAGATAGAAATTAATACGGAAATTAGGTTGTACATGTATAAAAGGAAAGAAAACATGATAACTGAGCACGAGCATGTTTTTATTCTTCAAATTTTGTTTTTTTATTACTTTTAAAAAAAATACTAAATAATGGAACATAGTTCTATAACAATTAGGTATCTTGTAAATTATTGGTAGCTTCGACCAAATTTCGTGATTAATTAAATCTATAATTAACATATTTTGGCATTCGACAATAAAAATCAGTCAACCTCTTAACTTTTACAATTTTACAAAATTGTGAGAAATTTTAATGACTCAAAGACTTTTAATGACATTTTTAATAACTCAATTCTCATTCAGTGCCCGTTTTTACAGAATTTAATAGAGAATAATTTTAACAGCTTATATTCCAAATTTCATTTGAATCTCCTCATTAATTTAGGAAGTATAAAAAACTGTTAAAGGGTTACGTATTCAAGGTTCTTCCCTGCGAACAATTAATACTGTTCCAGAATTTGCCTCTTTGCTGAAAGAGTATTGAGGTCGGACAGATCATTTAAAGGACATAAAAAATACTTTATTGGTAATGCTAGTAAATAGGGCTGATCTTGGCGACAAATTTGGTTTTCAAATGTCCCAAACCCCAAATCTTGAGTAAAAAATATATGTTCTTGGAAAACGCAGAACGTTTTAGAGAGATTATTTAGCTAAAAATTAAAGAAGCCCCTACAAGATTCTTCCTGACCTACATAAAGACGATGCAGAAAAGAAACATTGGAGTAAAATATTTGACGGTGACTGTACATTTCATTTGCGTTCTGCGAAATTGAGATTACTGTCATACCCGTTTCATGCGTTTTTGTTGTTTTTTTTACTTTGTGTAATTTTGTTATGCGATTTTTAAAAGAGATTTGTGAAATCTGACAATATAATATTCGATTCCAAGCCTTTTAAAATTCTATAAAGTCACATTCTGGCTATCTCGAACAACTAATAACATTTTCTTATGAAGACTTTTTATGCGGTTCTTATCTACTGCATAAAAAATATTTCGCTAACAATGTGTGTGAAAATATCTTTTAAGCCAATTTATCAATTTTTCACGAATATTTTGTGCATTATTTTTTGCGGTATCTCTCCTCTGCATAAAAAACAGGTTTGACTATACTGTGTGTGTTCAACATTTTTTTTTAATTGAGAGAATTTATAACCCCGTGCCTCACAAAGTATTACTCGGGGGCTTACATACAAGTACGCGTGAAGCACACATCACAAAGGAAAGAAGGATTACAACACAAACGTCCACTCCTTCTCCGGGACTCGAACCCAGGCCCTACTGCACCGCAGTCAGCGTCACTAACCACTATAACGAAGGGGCGGCCGTGTTTAACATCATTTTCTTAAAATCTGTGTGCTATTTTGCTGATGTATGAATGTGTTAATATGATTTTCTTCCTTCTTAAATTAAGATCTACTGTAATTACCAGAGTTTAAGAATAAATCAAAATTTACTTCAAAAGAAACTTCCTGCTAATTGCGTTCACTTTTCCTCCATTTGAATACAATTTACTACGCAACAGCACTATTTACAGTTTCTTAACGGTGCGTGATGATTGAGCTGAAAAATATAATTTAAAGTTCAGTAGACAACCCGTGGCCGCGGTAGCCAAGTGGTCTAGGCATCGGATCGTAGCTAGCATGTCATGAGTTCGATCCCAGTACCACTGAAGACCCGCCGTGTAGGGAAACGATGCACGTTAAATCTGTCGAGAGCTCAAATGTCCTCCCGTTGGTGTGGTAGTTAGGAGAGGGGGTGACAGCGCAGGTGTCGTCCGCGTCACTTGACCATGGTTCAAAATTATGTGGACCGTCCCCAAAAGCCCTCGTGTAACTGAACAGTGGGACGTTAATATTCACTCACTCCAGTAGACAACCCTTTAAAACTCTGATATCCGACCGTAAGATCGTACAATCAAGGGGAAAAATTTCCAGGAATGTCAAGAAAAATTTTAACTCTCAAAAGTTTTATATTAAAGGTCTACAATCTCTACCAATTAAGTAATTGGTTCATGTAAATAAAGAGATGTTAATATTCAACAGTTGATTGAGCTTCCACCAGAGGCAATTACAGCCTTAATCCTATGGGCTACGCTTTGCATAAGTATTTGGATGATGGACAGTGGTACTTTCTCCTGCTCGGCTTGGAGAAGACATGCAAGTTCTTTCATCGATTTCGAATGGCTGGTGTACCCCTTAATTTGGTTACCCAAATCGTTCCAGAGGTTTTCTATAAAATTCAAGTCTGAACTGTGGGCAAGCCAGTCCAGACGGTTCACCTGAATATCATACAAATCCATGGTGGACTTCGCAACATGACGAGTGGTGCTGTCATTCTGGAAATAACAATGACCCAACCCATAAAATTGCAACAGCGTATGAAGAGCTTTTGTCTAGAATAGTTTAGTAACACAGTTGGCATTGAGCTTAACATAAATTAGGATTAAGGCTCCCAGTCCATACCACGAGAAACATCCCCAGACCATAATTCCACCTTGAAGAATGCTATACAATATACTGTAGCAAAAGACGTTCTCAAGGCATACCTCAAACCCAGGCACTGCCATGTGACTAGTAGAGATTGAACCTTGATTCATCACTCCAGAGAACCTGGTTCCACTCATCTACGATCCAATTTCGAAAAGTGCCTTGCACCAGTTTAACGAAACAACGTGGTTGGATTTTGTAATGAGAAGCTTATGGGTGGCAGCACACCCATGGAAATGAAGCGAATATACCTCTTTGTGGATGGTAATCACCAAACCCACAGTCGTGGATGCTTGTTGGAACTCCTGGAGAATGTGTGGCATCGGTTTGGTATAGTTTTTCCGAATTTCTTTTGACAGCACTCGTTTGTCTGCGTTTCTTAATTTCGTGGCTCTTCCGGGTCAAATCACATTCTGAAAATTACCATTCACTTTGTAATCACAAGAACCACTGTCGATTATGGAATGTTTACCTCTCTAGATTTGTCCCTTAAGAATCGGCCATTTCTATTATATAAGACAACTACGCCCTTCACGAAGTCAGACATGTCTGAATTCCGTGACTTCTTAATGCAATTAAAGCCAATGCTGTTTTCCATACGATATTTAAGTACTGAAGGCGAGTCGTACATCAGGACCGCAAATATCCTCATTTGCATAGATGTCCAAATACCTATTGGTAGATAGCGTACTTTTTACGTTCCTATTGTCTGAGAAACTTACAAGCAGAATTTTAGGAAATTTGGAATTAAATGACTTTTAAAATAAATCAAACAAGTAAAAGAAATCAGATAACTTTATTGAAAAATTCTGCTTTAAAAGATTCTTTAAATTAAGCACATTCTAATTAAGCTAATTACTATATTTATAATACTTTATTTAATTTTCCTTAGGTATTAACACTGATGCCATTTTTGTTTGACTGCGATGGAAATTGCGGAAGTTATTAAGGGCGTTCCATATTTTTTGAGTCTGAACATTAAATAAGACTTGTGCGTTTTTAATTAATCTTTGCTTGAATAATATTTCGGAAAAAGCGAGGCAAAATGGCGGCTAATGAATGTAAAGGAAAATCTTGTTTTTGTATTTTCAATTTTTATTCTTGTTCTCATTTTAATAAAATAAAAAGCAATAATCACACATCTAGAAATTATAAATATATAACAACAAAAGTTTTCTGAAAGTAATATTTTAGTTGCTATTAATGGATCCTCTTGGCTCCTTTTTTCTGATTAACACACTTGAAGTCCCTCTTAAAACAGCAAATACGCCTTGTAATTTTTAACCACAGTTTGAATGACCATTTTGACAACCCCGGCCTCACACCCTACTCCCACCTTTCATACCTCATCAACGTGAGGAACTCGTACATATTTAGCATGCATTAGCCCTAGAGTTTTTAATACCGTGTCAAACTTTCAATCCCGGGATTGCATAATCCAAATCCGGAGATTAGGGAATGGGACTATTTATAAAAAATACTTACACATTATATATAAAGCAAATATAATAAAACTGAAAAAATTTATATACTATTGGTTTAATATTATTATTTATTGAAACAAATCGAAACGAAACTTGATGGATTAGAAAAATAAACAAATAAAAGTTGTACATAATGAAATTAAAAAGATTATTACTTCATTTCTTGTGTTTATGTAAATAAGCTTTTAAAAAACAGCTCGTTTTGCCTTTCATCGTTCAAACGGTTTCTTATTTTTGTTACAAATTGTCCAGCCGAAGAAAATGCTCATTAAGACTCTACACTAGAAGACTTTAACATCATTAAATAGGAGTATGTATGCCCTTTCCATGTTGTCACCACTTTTCTCTTCATTTTCAAAGAGGCATATTTCTTTTTGAATTTGTGATGACAGTGTCTCAAATTTAAAAGGTTATATTGGTGCATGTCCCTCTTTGGTAATATTATCTAGTTCTTCTGATACACTTAATTGCTTTTCTGTATAAATTGCTTCAGTTATTGAACTAGAATGTGAATCAACTTCTTGTGTTACCACATTTTAGATAGAGAATCCAGTCGCATGAGCTGTTATTAATGCAGTGGGATATGAAGCGCGTCAAGTCTTTCAAGCAGGTCCTCCATTGATTTACGGTATTTCATTGAAGAAAAAACTGTCACAAAATCTATTCCTGAGATGTTGCTTATACCATTGTGCAAGTATTGCAGTTGTGTCTGTTCAACGTTCCTCTATGCGAGAAATGAGAGCTGATTATACTTTTTTACTTATGTTGTTACTTGAACGAGCAGACATATGTCAGATCAGTTTCAGAAGATTGTTCACCACCAAAAAATCTATAATGACAAGGGGATCGGATGTTATGTTCCCCTTAGAAAGTCCGATGCATTTCAGAATGTGATCTGAGGAACCAGGATGGTCACAGAGTTTCTTACAAGTGTGGTGGTCTTTAGTCCTGCAAGTCGCCTCGAAGTCTCACTGTCGGCGAGGTGGAGTATCTGGGCGGAATGGTAGAAGTACGTTCGGGAGAGTAATCTCCTGGAAGGGTCACCCAAGGTGTAAAGGCCGTTCCATTATGCTTAGCTAAGGCCTGTAGGCAAAGGAGCAAAGACAGACTTCTGACCTTGGACTTTGCCTTATTGGGCTCCATGTGACCGTGGTAGCCAAGTGGTCAAGGTATCGGATCATGATTAGAATGTCATGAGTTTGATCCCCAGTACCACTGAAAACCCACCGTATAGGGAAGCGATGCACGTTAAATCTGTCGAGAGCTCAAATGTCCTCCCGTTGGTGTGGTAGTTAGGAGAGGGGGTGACAGCGCAGGTGTCGTCCGCGTCACCAAAAACCCTCGTGTAGCTGAACAGTGCGACGTTAATATTCACTTACTCACTCACTAGGGAGCTCCAGTCTTTCGACCATCAGAAGCTGCTCACTTCCTCCTCCATTTGAATTTGTTGATTTTTTACTTTTAGCACGCATAAATGCACAAGAAAAGATTCCACGTACATATTTCATAAAAAAAATACATATATAAATTTTCTGAAAAATAAATTTTTAGTAAATTTTGATGAGGAAAAAATTTTAAAATATAATTTAGACAAAAATTAAATCCCGGGATTCGGAGATCCAGGGGCTGCAAACCCTAATTAGCCTCTGTATTCAACGGGTCTTTAGTAATATAAGGACTCAAATACGCAACTCGAATGGGCTCAATTCATGATGGTCATATGATAAAGACAAAAAGGTGTTCTTCATTGAATTCAAAGACAGACTTCAAACAAATTGTATTTGTTGTTCTATTTGTAAAATTTCAAATTTTTTTAATTGGATCAAAATGTTTAAACATTCTAAAAAAATTTCAAATGTGTTTCGAAATTTTTTTGAAAAGATATTAAATTTTAAAAAAAACCTTATTTTTTTATATATGCATGGACTTTTAAATAAAATGCATTTCTCATATTATTTGCTTTATTATTGTTTACAAATATGTACTTTGTAAGAGAAAGTTTCTGCAAAGAGTAAAATATGGCAACAACGAAGCGTATCAGCTGATTAACTGAAAATATATAATTGCTTTTATAGTGTGACTATGAAGTGACATGAGTTTGTGAACTGATTGGCTAAAAACAAGTGGTTGTCATCATCATGTGACTAATGACGTCACACGAATTTAGCCCATTAAACATTTTTTCATTTGCCTCGAGTTCACTGCCATACCTATAATTTAATTTTAATCATGAATTAAAAAACGTCCGGTTTAATTTTCTATCAATCTATTTGAAACTGAATATTCGAGTCTAACTATACAGGGTTCCCCTAAACTAAACATCAAGCTGACAATGGTTGAAAAAAGGAG